GCCAAAATGCAACAATGAAAAGCAAGTACTCTGTGATACGTTTTACAATACAAGCTTTAAGGTCTGTAAGTACCAGAGACCTGATGAATTTAAACACAACACTTATTTCTCATCCCAGGCAAGCGCTGGCCACAGGTGGAAAAGTGGTAGGGCATACTTCTGGCTGCAGATGATGACTGTGCACACACTTCTGAGCACAGCCCTGTTTGCAGTCCCAAAGCAGCAGCTTTGCCTCCTACAACACCTCAAAAAGGGCATGAAATCCTTCCTCCTCTCAGCCTAAGCCCATTGAAAATCTGAGGGTGTGCTGAGATCCTACACAGAAGATAGAATGGGAGTGTCACATTTATTCACCTGCAGAGTTGTCTCTCACAATGGGACACAAGTGTGATCCTCTCCCTGACTTCTGGTGACCCATCCCTGTGAAGCTGTAGCAGGCACCCTTGGAGTGGCAGAGCCAGCACAGAAAATATGTATGTTGATAGCAAAATGGCTCTTCTCCCTGTTCCAGTGTTAAGTGCCCACTGAATGAGTTTGACTCCACAATCTCAAGGACAGCCAGCTCAGGTTGCTTCCTCCAATACTAATACGTAAACAAGTTACTCACTTGTTTTTTTTTTTTTTTTTCCCTTGTTTTTTTCTTCTTTCTGTTAATGTTATTCAAAGACAGCAAAATGCTGTAGACTATTCATTCCGGTTCCAGTTGTAGAAACAGAACATATGTAATTACCCATGTGGGTAGCAGTCCATCTCATATCCTTACTTATGCCACTGAAGGATATTATCTCATTATATCAGCTTAGCAGCCTTCTTTCCCTGGAATTTGAAATAAGCAAAGCTCATAAAGGAATGATGAAAAAACTAATTATATAAGACATTATTTTAAAAACTGCACAGTAGTCAAAATCCATTAATGGACTATTTTACATCATTAAACTACTTCCAAGAAAGTATCTAGGCTTTTTCAGCACAAACATTTCTACATTGAAAATGTAACTTGAATTCTATGGTTAGCTATTTTTTGAGTAAGTATAATATGTGCTTTCATTTACAATAGAGCAAAGATTAGTGAAATTTTTAACTTCATTATGTCTATCATCCAAAGTAATTTAGAAGATAGTCCTACTACACAGAGACTCTTCTGCACTAGAATGCTAATAATGACTCGCGTCTCGGGAAACAGAAAATAAAGCTACTAGCAAGGACTTCTTTTAACACATGTTTTGGGATTTTTATATGAATAGAAAGTACTCTTCTAATTCAAAGGTGAAATATTTCTGGACTTTTAGAAAGTTCTTGGGTGAATTTTTTAGGCCACAATACAAATAGACTTTGCTTTGGTCTGTAACACATGGTTCTTCAACCCAGCTGAACCTCAAGCTTAACTCCATTCCTTCCTTCCTGTTTACTGATTCCAGAAAGAAAGCTCCTGCAAGGGTGTTATTTGAAACATCTTCATCAGAACTCAGTTGTGAGTGGAACCCTGCTGCCAACCTCACTATGGGATGTAGAGTCCAACTCTGTGGACTATCAATATGGGAAGTGAGGTTGTTACCAGGAGCAACAAAGGGGGGTGGTTCTGGAGGGATTGAATCAAACACAGCCTTCTTTGAAAGGTGCAGTACTGTAGGGTAGACCAGGACTGCTGATGGGGTCTGACCTAAACTGATCTTGCCACCAGAATGTTCTGTCTGACCCCAGTGTCTCAGAAGTGAGGAGAGCTGTTGTTAAGTCCTGTAGGACAGGTCTCATAGGCTGAGCAGAGCTTTCCTGCCATGCAATATATCTCACTGTACAAAGAAGGTCTGAGATCCTGCTTACAGCAGGAAACTCTTTCAAAGGTTGTACCCAGGAATAGAACTAGCTTAAGCTAGCAGCTGAACTGAACTCTTTCCTGGCTAGAGGAATGCACCTGTTACATCAGTGCTCTGGGCCATATATGTGTCAGTAGCTGGTTAACAAAACTCAGGCCTGGAAGTGATGCTTCAGCATGTATAGCTTCATTACTATATTTGGTAGCAGGACCAATAAAGTTCATTGACAGGTTTCACTACAAATGGCTTCCTTTATGCTGAAGCTTTTTAGACCAGTTCTTAACTAGACCTAACAGTTGTATTAGGCAGACTGAAGGCGTGATCTTCCCAGGAAACTCTGATTACCATGAATTGAAAAGGAAACTTCTGAAACATTCCAAGAATTGCCCTTGGGCTTCTGAAATGACCATCTTTCTCTAGCAAGCTTCCTGTAACTTCTCTTCCAGAAAGAAAATTAAAAAATCAAGGCAGTCTGAGTTGTAGTTTATTTAAGACTCAAGTATAACGTTGATTTTAAGGTTGATGTGAGAAATAAATCCAGCTGCCTTTTACAGCAAGCAGTTTGGTCAGTTTGGCTTTAGCAGAGCTCAGCTCACTGACCCATCACAGCTCTCCCTCTTAGCTCCTAAGCCCCAGTGGCATGGCAGATTCACTTTCTGCGCTCCAAGAACATGGGGCAAGCAGGCTGTCCCCATAGGGAGGGAGAGGAGCACAGCTCATAGACTACAGGCTCAAGTGTATGAAACAGATGGGGAAGAGGAATTCACAACAGGAAGTTTCTGAGTGAGTATCTTCTGTATATGCGGAATCAGGAGCTGGACTTAGAGATCCTTATGGGACCCTTCCAATTTGAGATACTCTATGATTCTATGAATTGGTGGGGGCACAATTTGGAACTGTTTGTGCTACTCAAAGGGAACACTTGGAGCAGGTGCAAAGAATCCAACAGCTCCTCTTGTCCCAGACTGATTGCAGATGGATACTTTCTGGGAGAAGGAGAAGAACACTGCTCAGACACACTGTTACCTCTGTGAGTGGGTTTTGGAGAGAAGCTGCAACAGCACTGGAAGAAGCAAATCCTTTCCTCTAGACCTTGAACAACACATAGCGACTAAGGCCCAATATTCATGTAATGACAGCAGTCTCCCGTGAGGACGAAAGAGCAAAACCCCATTCCGTTTCTCTCTTTCCTTTGTTTCGGTCCGTTATCTCTTTGGGATATTTCACCAACAGAAGTCGACAGGGGCTTGTGAGTGGAGCCCCTCCGGTCCCGACCAGGACTGCGCTTCCCGCTGTGGCCATCGGGGGCTGCTGCGGGTCGACTCCGTCCGGCGGCCCGCGGGCTCCGGTCCGGCCCTGCGCTCCCTGACAAGGCTGGAAACCTCCTAGCGGAGGTGGAGCCCCAGCAACGGGGACGCAGCTAAATAAATAAATAAATAAATAAATAAATAAATAAATAAATAAATAAATAAATAAATAAATAAATAAATATTTTTAAAAGCCAAGGACATAGCGAGCCAGCTGGCACCTTCCTTCCGAATTAAAGCATCCCGGAGACCTCAGAGCAAGGCACAGACTGGAAATCAGGGTAGGATTTGGGGGGCAATGCCTCGGCTTCTAGGAGCCAGTGAAAGCCAGGGAGCGTCTGGTGAATGCGCCCGAAGGCGCTGTGCCTGCGCAGGGAGGGCCGGAGATGCGCAGGGTGGCCCTGCCCGATACCTTGCGGCTATGGGGACGGGCCGGGGCTGCTCGCAACCCTCCGTAACTTGCCCTCGAGTTTTGCTGTGAAAACAAAAGCAAAAGCAAACAATTCCCTTCCCCCAGCCCGAAAATAAAGCTCGGGCACCACCCGGGCTGGTCGAAAGGACTCCATTGTCGTTTTTAAATGAGATATCTTTGCAACTGCTCGCCCCTCCCCGAGCCAGCGGGGAGCCGCCCGTATCCCTGGAAGCGAGAGGTAGCGGGGAACAAAAGGCGGACTCCGAAGTGACACTGGAAATAAAAGGGAGCTTTGGTTACCCCCAGGGAAAGGTCGAGGGGGAAAGGTCGCCTTCCCGCCAGCGCACGTACTCCCGGCGGGCGCGGGGCGGCGGTCCCGGTCCAGAAGCAGCCTCGGGAGTGCGGGTGAGCGCGGAGCCGCCCCCCGGAGTGGCAGCACGGGTACAAGGGCAGTGTCCAAATCAAACCCGAGGGCAGAGGGGGGCCGCGCCACCTCTCCACTCTCCCGTCAGCCGGGGAGCCCCTTCCCCCGTGGAGCTTCGATTCATCCCTCGGAGTTCTGTTCCCCCCGAGCCCCGGGTATGGCGACCGCTCGGCACCCACCGGCGCCGGGCCGGGGAGCCGCCGTCGTCTCAGAGAGGGCAGGGCGCGGGCTGGCAGGTGGCCCACCTTCAGATCGGTTTCCTCTTGGCAATATGTGCAGGCGACAGAGCTGGGGATCAGCAATGTGAGCACAAATATGTGCTCGTGCACAGCCACTCCCGAAGGTATGCACCCCACCGTTTATGTGTGCGTATCTGGGTATATAGACACAAACACATAACTCCTGCACTATCTGAAGTAATATACTGATAGCTGTATCTCAAAACCGATAAATAGATCGACCCTGGCAGGATTCTGTTTGTAGGTATGTGCTGATACTAAGTATTGTCGTGTGTGAATCATGCTTATATTTTTAACTATATAGCATATAACTTTATGCAAATTGTCTCAGCCACCTCCAGTGCAGCCACATTCTGACACGGCACCAAAGATGCTTTGGGGCCACAATGCACACCTGTACTGACAGCACTGTGGCAATCTACAGACGTGGTGGGAATCGCATGCAGGGTGACAATGAGGCCACTGCACTAATTGCTGATTATAACGGTGCCGGGGCAGGTGCCAAAACACATCCCAGCACGATGCTGCCGGCGGCCCTCCGTGCCCGCAGCCACCACCCGGGGCAGCGCAGAGGCGCCGGGCCTAGGCGTGCCACTGGGTCCGGACACGGGGGCCCCCGCCCGCCCCAGCGGCCTCGGAGCCCGGCCCTGGCACCTCACTGCTGGCCCCTCCCTGGCCCTCTCGGCCGGGAACGGCCCGGCAGAGGAAAAGCCGGGGGTCGGAGCATCGGGTCAGAAGAGTTCGGGCGCCAGCCGGGAAGTGGTTCAGGAGGGCAAAGCCTCGCGAGTGGGTCCCGCATGCGAAATGCTCCACGCCCTGAGCAGCTGGAGGAACAACTGGGCGTGCGCTGCAGAGGGGTGAGAATTTCCCTTTGGGGCTTTGCTTGGTTTGCTTGCTTAGATCCATACCCCAGGGCGAGAGATTGTGACCGGTCCACCGAGGCATTCCTCAGCTTCACAAAATGACCGGGGAAGGGTGGCTGTTCCCCGAAGGGGATTTGTCTCTCTGAGCCCCACCAACACGAGCGCTCGGCAGGACCGTGCTTCATGCTCAGGGATGTGCCCGCGGTCACAGCCACACGGGGCCGCCCCGCGCGGCCGCTGCGGGAATGGCCCCTCCGTTTCCTCCCCGGGCTTCGGGCGCGGTGTGCCGGGCACGCTCTCCCTTTGGAGGGTGCGCCGACACGCATACGGCACCGGAGCTGAAGTCCTTCTGAGGGTCGGCCAAGAGGGAAGTACCGCAGCCAGCTCTCCCGGTGCCGCGGGGCATCTCTCCCCTTTGCAGGCTCGGGGCTTCGGGAAGGGAATTTGAATCTCTGCGCGCATGTTATGCTTCTGCTAATAACCAGAGCAGAAGGAAGAGTTTACCCCAATTCTCACGTCACCCGTTCTAAGTTGGACTACCTGGCTGAGAACACGGAGAGGGTTCGTTTCTTTCTGTTACAAAGTTGCATTTGAGGAGTGCAACACGAATCGCTCGGCCCCTGCCCCTCTCCCCCCGGAGCCCGCAGCCAACCTGGCTCGGGGCCGGGCCCGGGATGGATGGCTCCCTACTCTGCGGGAGCCACGGGATCCGGAGGAGCTTAGAGGGGAGGGGAAAGAGTTTGGGACAAGGGCCTCGGGTGGGAGCCGAGCAGCCTTCTGTGCCCCCCGCAGTGGGTGGCGGATCCTCCAGCAGCCGCTCGCGGTGCTGCCTGGCCGAGCACGTTGGGTTCCTTTCGGGGAAGCACAGCGGCTCTCATAAAAAAGACATTGTTGGCTTTGGAGAGCCCTGCGCGCTCTTTCAAAAGGCGCTCCTTGAGTTCCCAGCCCCCGCAATCCAGTTGATGAGGAAACGCGCTGCGGTGTTGGTGGCACCATTTCCATTGGGATTGGCACCGTTTGATTGACAAAGTCTCACATTCTTCCACCTCTCGAGTGTTATCAAACGGATTGTGTGGGGTCAGAAGCTATTGAAGGGACGTCCGTGTAGCCGCGTTCTGCAAACACGGGGTGAAGACCATGCCTTTCTCATGAAAATGCTTCCACCAGGCAAAACGCGGCTCATCTTCCCTGCTCTCCTCCTTAGCATTTCCTCTTAACTCGAGCTTGTCCCTAAACGGCAGCATCAGGTAAACGAACATAGCTCCAGAGGCAGCCCAAGCAGGGCCCTGCCGGGCGCTGCCCCCCCGTTCTCCCCCTGGGAGGGGAGCGCGGACACAGCTCCGGCAGTGGGGGCCGAGAGGAGAGGGGTGGGCTCCGAAAGGGCGGCAGAGAGAAGCAGCCGCGGCTCGACTGGCCCTGCAGAGCTACTTGGGGCGGTAAGGTGGATCAGGGGCTGCCCTGCTCCATCTCACTGGATCGATCCGGAAGGACTCAAAAGTGCAGGTGGGATCTTGCGGGGTGCAGATCCTCAGTATTCAGACAGCGCTCAGCCCACCAAGAGATCTCCACCCAGCTGCTCTCGCTCTAATTCCCCTCTGCCAGCCCCCGCGCAGGGTCAGGGCCGGATTCGTTCGGCTCCATCTCACCAAACAGCGTTTCGGGGGCTGCCCGAGCACACCCCATCGAAGCGGCGGTGCCGGGGACAGTGCACTACGGACAGTCCCCAGCCCGGCCCCGGCTCCGCGGGCTGCGGGGCACTACCGTCCTTCTTCCCGGGATTGTTGTGACGGTGGATCCTTCGGTATTATTTGTTCCTCTATCCACACCCTCCTGTTCTTTAAGGCCAATAAAGCAGGCACGGAGGTGATGGGCGAGGAATCCGAGGGAAACAGAAGCAAACAAACAAGCAAAACCCCACAAGGTGAGGTCTAATATCTCTCTCTTTAGGAGCAAACTCGAAGATCTTACTGAAAATCGCGCGCAGAAAGGGGGATAGTACGGGGGGGAGGAGGGGGAGGGGGGGAAGAGCGGGAGTGGGAGGCAGGGGGAAATTAATGTCCCAGGGATCTGGAAGGAAGTGATTCAAAGGTCCGGAGAGGAAAAAGGCCAAATTCAGAGCAGCCGCCCCCCAGCCTGAAACGATCCTTGTGCCCGCGGGACATGGCGGACCCCCAGAAGCCCACCTTGGGGCTGAGGGGAGCCAAGCGGGGCCAGAAGGGCCGGGGGCCTAATGGAAGGAGAGTCCCCCGGTGAATGTGTGTGGAAAAGCTCACCTCTCGCGGAGCTCTAAAGTGTAATCAAGGCTGAGGCTTACACTTGAAGGATGTTAACTCTCATACAGGAACCTACTTTCTCCTAAACGGTTTCTTGCCTACTGAATGAGAGCCTCCCAATTGAGGCAAAATGATCCTTATGCGCTAATATCGAGCGCAGTCACAAAGCGACCGGCTATTTACGCTGCCACTTTAGACAAAGATATTTAGTTATTCCCGGGTAGCAAGTGCACTTTTGCATTTTTAAGCACGAACCAGCCGAGCACCAATATATTTACAAGTGCAATTACTAAATAGTTACTTGACACTTCAAAGTCACTGGGTTAACTGTACCTTCTCTGTAATTTCCTTAATATTCAGGTAATCGCTTTATTAAGCGGGTTTCCCAGGGCTATGAGCCGGGGTGCAAATTGCCCAGCGGAGTTTTCCTCCCTTCCTCCCGGAGCGCCCCGCGGTACGCGCGTGGGGACCCGGAGCTGTGACGGGCTGCTCGCCGCGTGTGTGTGCACGGAGCTGGGAGTGGGTTCTCTTTTGTTCTTACGCCGGATCCCACAACTGATCCGAAAATGGCAGAAATTGATGTTCTAAGTGGCAGGTGTTCGTTAGCAAGGTGGTGCAGTAGATGACCCGAGAGGTCTTCTTCATGCAGCTCCCGCGCTGTATAAATAACCTTAGAGAGCAGCTTCGGGTCCAGAGGGACCTCGGGAGCCTGGAGCAGCCTTTGCCTTTGGGAACAGGGAGAGACGTCTTGCTCTAAGCTGTTTCAGTAGTGTGTCGCTCGGAGCAATTTAACTGCTGCTCGTTTTTATAAACTTGCATCTTCCACCTCTCTCTGAGGTTTAAAAAAAAAAAAAAAAAAAAAAAAAAAGACGAGAAAGCCTTAGGTAAATTGAACTTGTGGGTTCAGGGAGAGAAACGATCCTCGCACAAGGGGTCTCACTCCGAGGGTTTTAGAGGGTACGAAAGGTTCCTGGGATACCAGGTGCCAAAGGTGCCCGGGCAGCGGGAGGTGTGCGGATCGCTGGCTGCGGGACCCTCCCCGGCAGATCTGGAGGGCAGAGGAGGGTTGCTCCATGTGCCCAGTGGCAGCAGTCCCGTGCCCGCAGCTCTCCCAAAGGCCGCCTGCCAGCCTGCCAGCCCACCCGCAGCTGATCTGAAATCCCTCTACATGGGCAAACGGGGGCTTTTGGCATTGCTCTCCACTACCCGTCCACAATATTGTAACCCCCGAGAAAAATAAAATGATTTCTTCTCACGGGGTGTCTCTCTATTTCCATCTCCCTGCCGCTCTCTCTCTCTCTCCTTCTCTCTCTCTCTCTCTCTCTTTTTTTTTAAGACATAAAAAAAATCCTGACAAGTAAAACTTAAAGGTGTTTACCTTGTCATCAGCATGTAAGCTAATTATCTTGGGCAAGATGTAGGCTTCTATTGTCTTGTTGCTTTAGTGCCTATGCCCCGCCTCTGGTGGCAGCCTAAAACCTGGCGTCTGGCTAAAACAAACGAAAGGCAGCCCTGAGCCTCCACTCAATCCAATTAAGGCGGACTTCGTCCACTCGGTTACGTGTACATCCAACAAGATCGGCGTTAAGGCAACACCAGAATATTTGGCTAAAAAAAAAAAAAAAAAAAAAAAAAAAAAAAAAAAAGATTTGCCTCCCCTTCCTTTTTTTTTTTTTTTTTTTTTTTTTTTTTTTTTTTTTTTTTTTTTTTTTTTTTCCCCAGCCGCCGAATCATGTCGATGAGCCCAAAGCATACGACTCCTTTCTCAGTGTCTGACATCTTGAGTCCTTTGGAGGAAAGCTACAAGAAAGTGGGCATGGAGGGCAGTAACTTGGGGGCTCCCTTGTCAGCCTACAGACAGTCTCAGGTTTCGCAGCCGGCCATGCAGCAACACCCCATGGGCCACAACGGAACGGTGACTGCCGCCTACCATATGACAGCGGCAGGGGTCCCCCAGCTCTCCCACGCTACGATGGGGGGCTACTGCAATGGGAACCTGGGCAACATGAGCGAGCTCCCGCCTTACCAGGACACCATGCGGAACAGCGCTTCAGCGACAGGATGGTACGGCACCAACCCGGACCCCCGCTTCTCCTCAAGTAAGTGAGCCCGGGGCCGGCTGTCCGCTGGGGGGTGGCTGCGTCCCTCTCTGCCCCTCTGCCCCGCGGACGTCGGGGGCAAAAGTCGGTACGGACCCCGCTCGTCCCCCTCCGCTCCGTCCATTCTTCTACCGGAGGATCGGGCCCCGTACCCCCTCGCCGGGCGATTCGCGGCTGCTCCCGGGGCGGCAGGAGGGAGGGGGGGAGCCGGCAGCAGAGCATCGGCGTGGATGCCCCGGGGGACCCGGCACTGCCCGGCCCCCGGCGCTCCGCCCGACCGGGCAGTACGAAGGGAAGCGGAGGCGCTGGAGCCGCGGAGGAGCGAGGGGAACGGGAGAGCCCGGCTCGGCGGAGCCCCGGCCGCGGGAGCCGACAGCCGCAGGGACCGTGCGGCGGCACACGGGCGGCGCGAAGGGCGAGCGGGGCCGGGCCGAGAGTGAGGGGGTCCCGCGGGCGGCGGGGGAACGCGAGAGGCGGCGGCGGCGGGAGCGGGGGCAGCGCGGGGCCGAAACGAGCCGCTGACAGCGCGCCCCTTCTGCCTTGCAGTCTCCCGCTTCATGGCGCCGTCCTCGGGCATGAACATGGGAGGCATGGGCGGCCTGAGCTCCCTGGGGGACGTGAGCAAGAGCATGGCCCCGCTGCAGAGCACGCCGCGAAGGAAACGGAGGGTCCTGTTTTCCCAGGCCCAGGTTTACGAGCTGGAGAGACGTTTCAAGCAGCAGAAATACCTCTCCGCCCCCGAGAGGGAACATTTAGCCAGCATGATCCACCTCACCCCGACTCAGGTCAAAATCTGGTTCCAGAACCACCGCTACAAGATGAAGCGGCAGGCCAAAGACAAGGCTGCGCAGCAGCAGATGCAACAGGAGAACGGCTCCTGCCAGCAGCAGCAGTCCCCCAGGAGGGTGGCGGTGCCGGTGCTGGTGAAGGATGGCAAACCCTGCCAGGCGGGCTCCAACACCCCCACCGCAGCCATCCAGAGCCACCCGCAGCAGGCGGCCACGACCATCACGGTGGCCACCAATGGCAACAGCCTCGGACAGCATCAGAGCCATCAGACAAACAGTGCGGGGCAGTCTCCCGACATGGGACAGCACTCGGCCAGCCCTTCCTCCCTGCAGAGCCAAGTCTCCAGTTTGTCTCACCTGAACTCTTCCACTTCTGACTATGGCACTGCCATGTCCTGCTCCACCTTACTATACGGTAGGACCTGGTGAAAGGATTAGAGAAAGCGAAACTAAACACAACAAAACAAAAAAAAGAGAGAGAAAAAGAAAAAAAAAACAGATTTTCCCAGTCACACAGATCTGTGTCCTGTCCAAAGTACTGGGTGCTTTCCTTTTCTCTTTTATTATTTTTTCTTTCTTTCTTTCTTTCTTTTTTTCTTTTTCGTTTTACTGATTGGTTCTCTGAGGACTCCTAAGAGAGAGAGGAAGAGAGTGACTTCTTGTTCCGTTTGCTGTTACTGTGACGGTTTTGGGTCTTTCTTTTTTCCCGTTTCCCCCCAACTTGCTGTGTGGGGTGTTAAACCAATTCTGACCAATAACCACGGAGCAGTCTGCAGACAGGGGCCCGTCGGTAGGCATGGCCCGAAGGCTCGGATTGCAGATGGACCCTTTGCCAGCGTCTAGGACTTGCATGTAAATATAGAGATTGGGGAGGATGGGGTTGGGGTTTTTCCCAAAAACGCGGTCGCGGCACGCAGCCACAGAGCAACCTCCCCCACTCCCCGGCTCCGCTCCCGGCCCCGTCCCAGCGATGGAGCCGGGGGGCCACACGAGGCTTTGGCTTTTCTTTTACGTTTGATGTGAACCTGTAGCTGTATAATGCTGTCAAAAGTTGGACTAAACCCATAGTTTTTAGCATCCTGTATATTTTGTTGTAAAAAGAAAGAAAAAAAAATACAATCAACCAAACCAACCCCACCCCTCTTTTTTATGGACACTGATCGTCCCCTCGTAAACTCTCCGGCAGTTTGTTCTTTGCGCACGCCGCCTTTTCCTGTTGTAACTTATGTAGATATTTGGCTTAAATATAGTTCCTAAGAAGCTTCTAATAAATTATACGCATTGCGAATATATATTTTTTTTTTAAACTTCCTCTCGGCTTCCTCCTGACCCTCCTTTCCCCCATCTCTATTTTTGCGTTGGATGGAAACCGGACCGGGACGCTGCGGGCTCCGGGACGCCCCCGCTCGGGGGAACCGCGCCGGGAGGCGGCGGAGCGCGGGGCCGAGCGCCGAGAGAACGCGCGGAGGGAGAGTGCGGAGCTCCCGGGCAGCAGGGAATGGGGTCGGGCCCGAACTCATTGCCGCTACCGGGGGCGGAGGGGCCTCGGGCCTTTTTGCCGGAGAAAGAGAAGTGCTCCGGGAGGAGAGAGCCAAATGCCAAAGGCGCGGAGGAGAAAGAAGGGAGAAGTCTGATACCACTAGAAACAAACTAACGACGAACGTGCTGGCAGTGTAGGACGCGCGGCCGTTTTAAAGAGCGTCCAGTTTAAATACCCTGTTTAAAAAAAAAAGAAAAAGAAAGAAAGAAAGAAAGAAAAAGAGAAAGAAAAAAAAAAAGAAAGAAGAAAGAAGAAAGAACAGAACAATCTCTACCAGGTTTTCCCATGTACTTGTATTTTAAGGGAAGTACAGTCACCTTATTTATAATCCAAATAAAAAGATAGTTTATTGTGTACGAACTGTAGTTTGGATTAACTTTCTTTGAAGGGCTGGACTGAATTTCCCACCCGCACACACCTCCCAGGCAGCTCCCGCAAGCGCCAACCCCAGTCTCCGGGCGGGGGTTTAGGGGCAGGCTGCGGCTCAGCGTAGAGCAGGTTGGGCTTTCGGCTTTTTTTTCCTTTTTTTTTTCACT